TTTTTTGGACAACAAACTAAAAAACAAAACTTTTTGCTAAACATTTAAATGAATTTTAGTAAACAATGAAGATTAGTTTGATGAGTTAGTGTTTTTTGTTAACTAGTGTTTTTGAGCAACGCTTACTTTCATTGTTTTGGTTTGTTTTTGGATATTTTGGTCAAATTAAACCCACTTTTTGAAAATTACACCTGTGTGTATTTTCATGTGGTCAGTCTCTTAAATGTAGCAATGCATGCATCGCATCAGCACATCAAGAACAGGAGAGCATTTTTGGGGGCAAAAATGGCATCCGATATTTAAAATGAATCTATACATCTCACGTTTGACCTTCTAGAGGATGATTCTGGCTTATTTCACACCCCTGGTCTGATTGTAGTTGTAGATTATATAAAAATGTAGCAGCTTGCAATAAATCAACTGGGATCCCAGACAAAAGTTGAAAAACGTGTTTAATAGAGACTCTGGTGCACTGAGGAAAGTGTTAAGTTACGCAAGCCCTGCATTCACCATCTGCACTGACTTTTGAAAGATAGTGGGGTTTATCACTATACGGGTTGCTCCTGATAGGGGTAACTCTTCTGACACACCCACAAAAAAAAGAAAGCTTACCTTAAAGCCCCATTGCCCACAACTGTGCATTTTCATTAAAGCAGTTTGTTGTTTGTCCCTGAAAGATCAGCAAATGGTTGCGCACGTGTTTCAGATCGAAAGGGGCCCCGGTTCCTCCAAAAGCCACTCTGCAGTTCAAGCACCACTTCTGTCAGTCAAATGGAGCAGGTGGTGTGGCTGGATGAAAAGGTAGGGGAAGGAATAAGCCAGAAACTCACAGGGAGACTTCATTTTGTTTCTGTTATTCTGCTTAAATAATCTACATGTCTATTTTTACTTAATACCATTTAATAAGAGGTTGGCCTATACAGATAAGCACCTCAATTAAGCTTGCTGCCTCGAGGAGAATATCAAAGCCGCTAAAATAACAGCATGGCTAGAAAAGGAAAGTGTATGCATGTAGTTTAATATTGCAAAATGTTATTTACTTTTTTTTTTAAAGTATTATTATTAATAGGACTGGTCAGTGATTAATAAGAATAGCTTACACTCATATTCCCTACCCGTATAACCCCTGATTGTATCCAACTAGTGCAACTTTTCTCTGTCACCAGGTAGCCAATTACAGCCCCATGGAAATAAAGAAATTGCCCTTTTAATACTATAAATTGATTAACAGAGCCATGATTAGTGTTTTAGTAGTAGGTAATCTGCACTCTGACTGCGTGTGCTAAAAAAATTCTTACATTCATATTTTGGAATACAGTGTAGTGAAAAAATAATTCGCCCACCCTTTATGACTTATTAGTTTTTCGCATATTTGTTGCACTTACATGTTTCAAATCATGAAACAAATTTTAATATTTGATGAGGTAAATAGAAAATTCAGTTTTTAAATGATGATGTCATTTCTAACAGGAAAAAAGTTATCCAAACCTACCTGGTCCTGTGTGAAAAACTAAATGCTAAATTAACTGTGATTAACTACCGAGTTCAGTTTCACGAGCCACACCCGGCTCTTATTATTCTCAGACCTGCTGAATGAAGAAAATATTCTGTGAATTGATGACTCAAAAGGTGAACTTTTTGGAAGGTTTTAGTCCAGTTACATGTGTTGTAAAACCAGCGTTGGGGAGTAACGGAATACATTTACCACCGTTACGTATTTAAAATACAAAATATGAGTAACTGTATTCCGTTACAGTTACCGTTTAAAAAGGTGGTATTTAGAATACAGTTACTTTGTTTAAATAAATGGATTACACGACGGTACTTTCCTGTTTCATATTGTGGCGGGTCAGGCCTGTTTGGGTTTTGTTTGACAGCTACGTTCTGTTGTTCCAGGCGGCAGCGTTACGGTTGCCATGGTTACAAGGTGCCGCTCTCTCTCTCTCTGGGTGAGAGAGCGCCTGTTGTTGTTGTGCTAAGCTAATATGCAGAATGCTACAGGTATAGCTCTAAAGAATGTAGCATCATGGGCAGTGTAGTCCGTGCTGCAGGGAGAATGGACTGCCATACACGTTATGTGTCTGTGAGCGAGCGAGGGAGAAAAAGGAAAAGTACGAGCTGTCATCCAGCAGAAACGGGAGCTGGAA